AGCTAAATCCTTGGCCCTCCAGATACTCTTTTGTTGCCAGTTCAGAGAGTCCAGGTGGTTGAGTATCAGAGTGTTCCATCTCCTTTCCCTTTGGGGTTGCTGTAGGTGATCTGGAAGTCTGTTTTTCTTTTTTGGTACCGGGGATCGAACTTGGGACCTTGCACTTTTGAGACAGGCAGCGGAACCACTGAGCTAAATCCCCAGCCCCTGGAAGTCTGGTTTTGAGATTTGTTTATGTGTCTTCTCATTTTGACGGGGGAGGGGGGGTGCTGCTGGTGCCTGCAAGGCTCACCTCCTGTGTGCTGGCGGGGGTGGTTTGGCAGCCCAGAAGCCTCCTCTTGTGCAATGGGAGCAGGTAGTTGTTATTGTTGGTGATGTTAATGTTTCCACTTTTAAAATATACCTCAGGCTGGGGGTGCAGCTCAGTGGTAGAGCACTAGGTGAGCATGGGCAAGGCCCTGGGTTCAATTCCCTGTATCGCAAAAACAAACAAATTAATTAATAATATAGTATGTTTGCATGATGGGGGTTACCTCAGCCTTTTTATTTGTTCCTTTGCACACTATCACTGAGCCCTACTCTAAGCCTTGTTGAGCACTAAGAGACCCCTGGAAGCTGTAAACATTGCATCCGGCCTGGGCTGAGGTGGTAGCGAATGAGGTGGAGAAGAAAGAACCTTTACCTGCTAGGGGGTTAGCAGGGGAAGAACTGTAGCGCGGGGAGATTTCTTTTCTTACCCTTGCTAGGTTTCTGACTGAGACTCCTCATAATAAAAACCAGATTAATACGAGAAAGGCATCCAAAGTATTTTAAATAAGTTTTACATGACACGGGAGCCTTCAGAAAAGAATATTCAGAGACATGGGTGAAGCTGTGTATGCTCCTGCTTTGGTCTGATGAAGAGAAGACAGAACCCGACCTGGTGGTGCATGTCGGTGATCCCCAGCATTCTGGGAGGCTGAGATAGGAAGATCAAAGTTTGAGCCCAGCCCGGTTAACTTAGCAGCTTTGTGAAGCCCTGCCTCTAAATAAAAAGTTAAAAAAGTGTCTGGGGATGTAGCTCAGTGGCACCATGCCTGCCGGGCAAGCACAAGGTCCTGAGTTCAACTCCCGGTACTGGAAAAAAAAAAAGGTAAAATGGGGGCTGGGGATGTAGCTCAGTGTGAAGGTTCAACTCTTAGTATTGCAAAAAGCAGGAGGGGGATGAGAGAGAGAGAGGAGAGAGAAAATGGGTGGACCGGAGGGTGACTGGACAAGGGATGTGATCTGATAGGAATAAACTGGGGGGCTGAGCAAGGCCTGTTTCTCAGGTTCTCTGTGCCCCTAAGCCTCCAGAGGTGAGGATGTTGCTGTACCTGGGTGTAGGGTGAGGACAAGCACCTCTAGAATGACGGTCTCCTTCAGAGAATTCCACTGCAGGGGAGAGGGGTGGGAGAAGCTCAGAGGGTGACTCCTGCGCTGTTGCTTTCCAAACGCCACGGTGGCAAATTTTGAAATAGGTGTCCTGATGGTGTTTCACCAGAACCAGGCTAGAGGGAAGAAGGCGAAGTTCAGTTCTGTGCTTGTTCAATTTCAGGTGGGTAAGAGACAGCACATGGAGATGCTTGTGCGCAGAGCACAGGCCTGGTACTGAGGCAGGTCTTTCTGTAAAGGGAGGGTTGCCAGGGGGTGGAGGCTGGGGAGGGCCCTACAGGCAGAGCACAGAGCATGTTCAGGGCAGTCAAACTGTTCTCTAGGATACTACAGTGGCGGATGCATGTTCTTATGCATTTGTCAAAACCACAGGAAGGGTAAAGTCAAGAGTGAATGTAAAGCACAGGCTTTGGAATAATGGCGCCGCAGGTAGACGTGTTCACTATGGAATAGACCGCTGTGCCATGGGAGTCCACATCGGGGAACATTGGGGTAGGAGACAGCTATGGCTGGACAGGCTTGGAGTGTGCCTGAAGCCTCATGTAGTGAAGTTTGATCCCCACTGTAGGCATCAGGAGGGTGGAAACTTAATTCACCTATGGCATTTAGATGCGGGGCCTTGGGAGAGACAAGGTCCTCAGGGTGAGGCCTCCAAGATCACATCCTGGTGTCTTTATTAGGAGAGGGAGAGAGACCAGACAGGCACACATAGCCTTGCAGGCTCCCTGCCTCTTGCCATGTGATGCCCTTGCCAGCTTGAGACTATGCCAACAAGAAGGCCATCACCACATGCAAGTCCTCAAACCCCCAGAACTGTGAGCTAAATAAACCTCTTCTTTATAATATACCCTGACTTAGGTATTCTGCTATAGTGATGAAAAATATTAACACAGGGTATATGAAAACTCTGTAATTTGCTTGATTTTTCTGTGAATCTAAAACTGCTCTAAAAACTATAAAGGCCTATTAAAAGAAGGATTAGGGAGTAGATAGCAAGGATGGGGGGGGAAAGGCTCAGAAGCGAGAAAGCCAATGTATGCTGAGAGTGGGCAGAGAAGGGAACTACACAGCACAAAGGAGCACGAACTGAGGGCCGACTGAGTGGCAGGAGCTTCTCAACAAGCTGCGACATGAGTGTTTCATTTGGTTTTGCTCTGAGCACTGGCACTGGGACCCAGGGCCTCCACATGCCAGGCAGGCTCCTACCGCTGAGCAACACCCCAGTCCTAGAGGTCCTCAGACTGTGAAAGGTGAACTCACAGTGGTTTGAAAGAGGACTCCTCAACTCCTCCCACTCCTCCAGTGCCTGCCTTTCAGGAGATTGATCTGCAGCAGCAGAATCCTGCAGGAGATGCTGGGGGCAAGGCTAGAGAGAGGCCTTTCCTAGGAGACAAGGCTCAGCTTTGAGACTGACCCCAGGAGACAGTGATGCTAGGACTTCTACTTAAGGGAAGGAAGGAGGGAAAGGGAGAAGGAAGGAGGGGAGCAAAGGAAGAAAGGGAGGAAGGAAGGAAGAAAAAGGAAGAGAAAGAAAGAAAGAAAGAAAGAAAGAAAGAAAGAAAGAAAGAAAGAAAGAAAGAAAGGCAGGCAAAAAAAATAGAGAATGCTTTTTGCTATGGAAAGAGGAAGAACTCAGCAAAACCCAGAGTGATGCTTCCTATCTCTCATTGTAGCCCTAGCAACCCGAAAGTTAACTTGTGGTTCCAGGGAGGTATCTTCCTAAGCATCATAAAAAGGAGTATATCTTTTCATTTGCCATCTCCTCTACTACGTTCAGATTTTTTTCTCCCAAACTGAGAAGGGAGAATTTCAGTTATTTTCTAGTCTTTTTGAAATGAAGACAAAGCCAATTCATCTTTTTATTTTATTCCCTTTTTTTTTGTACCAGGGATCAAACTTGGGTCCTTGCACTTGTGCAGCAGGCGGCAAAACCACTGAGCTAAATCCCCGGCCCCTTATTTATTTATTTATTTATTTATTTATTTATTTATTTTTGGTATTGGGGATCGAACTCCGGTCCTTGCGCTTGTGCAGCAGGTGGCGAACCCACTGAGCTAAATCCCTGGTCCGTTTATTTTGCTTTTTGAAACAAGGTCTTTCTATGTAGCTCAGGCTGGCCTTGAACTCACAGCAATGCTCCTGCCTCCACCTTCGAGTGCTGGGGTTACAAGCATGCACCACCATGCCAGGCTCATCTTTTTAGGACCAATTTGTGTCCTTGTTGTGACAGCTAGAGGAGACTGAATAAAAAAGATTTTTCCCACCAGAATGGGTGAACACTTAGGACACTTTGGCCATCATGCCAGCCACTGTTTATTTATTCAACAAACTGTTGGAGCCAGGGACCAGCCTAGCCCCTGGGGCTGGAGGTAAGTTATGTATGACATGGGCTCTGCCCTCAAGAAGTTCACAGTGTGGCTAAGATCCAGGCAAGGCAATAGAAACTTCCAGCTGCTCTAAAAGGGATGAGGAGAATATGAAAGACACGTGCACACTGCTCTCTAGGCACCCACGAGGGGTCTCTAATCTGATTGGTGGATGAAGAGGTGACTGGGGAACATTTGGCAGAACCACCACTCAATCCTTTGCAGGCTAATGTTGGTAATCAAAAACCAACTCTGGTAGCTGGGTGTGGCGGTGCATACCTGTGAGCCCGGCACTCTGGGAGCCTGAGGTAGGAGGATCGCAAGTTTGAGCCTTGGCTGGGCAATTTAGTGACTTAGAGAGACCCTGTCTCGGAGTAAAAAGATTTAAAAAGGGCCAGGGAGGACTAGGGATTTAGCTCAGTGGTTCTGCTGCCTGCCCTGCAAGCGCAATGACCCGAGTTCGATCCCTGGTACCAAAAAAAAAAAATAATAATAATAATAATAATAAGGGCCACGGACATAGCCCAATGCAAAGGCCCTAGGCTCAATCCCCAGTACCAGAAAAAGAAGAAAAAAACCCCCAAAAAATCACAGTCCCTGGTGTGGAGGCACACACCTGTAATCCCAGGTACTTGGGAGGCCAAGACAGGAGGATTGCAAGTTCAAGACCAAACTGAACTTCTGTGCTTGGTATGAGGCATTTTAGCAAAACTTTGTCTCAAAGTAAAAAAGCCAGGTGTGGTGGTGCACATCTGTAATCTCAAGATTTGAGAGGCTGAGGTAGGAAGATTGCTGCAAGTTCAAGGCCAGCCTGAAGTACATAGCAAGACTTTGTCTAAAAAGACAAAAAAGCTGGAGTGAAACCTGGCTGCTGAATGATTGAGATCCATGCATGGAGATAAAGATTACAAAATGTCCTAATTTGATTTATACTGAAGGAAAAAGCAAAACAATATCTATATGGCAGTGCATTTTTATGATGGAAATTAAACCATATATTAAAAGGGAAATATTATGGGCTGGGGATTTAGCTTAGTGGTTTCACCGCCTGCTGCACAAGCGCAAGGAGCCAAGTTCGATCCCTGGTACCAAAAACAAAAAAACCAAAAAACAAAAAAAGGGAACTAGTAAAAACATCCAACAAAAGTTCACATAGTGGAAGTGCATTTTTTATCTGAAAAAAAGAAAAAAAATTCATTATATCAAGCTATTGCACACCCAATAAGTAGGAAACAGAAATCTACATTAACCTAAGAAATGGTCAAGTGTCTTTCTTTTTAATTTTAGCTGAAGTCTGTTTGAAGTAGATGGAGGTCTGAAATGTGGTTTACCACTATGGTCATCATTATTCCCCATAGTTAGATTTGGCGGGGTGTTGGGGATCAAACACGGGGTTTTGAATATGTTAGGCAAATGTGGTACCACCAAACTACCCATGGTTAGCTTAAAAAGGGAGAAAAAGTGTTACCAGGTGTGGAGGTACACTCCTGTAATCTCAGCTATTCAGAGGCTGATGTAGGAAGACTGTGGCTTCGAGGCCAGCCGGACAGTTTAGAGAGATCCTGTCTCAAAGTAAAAACCAGAGTTGGGAATGTATCTCAATGGTAAAGTGCTTGCCTAACGTGCATGAGGGCCTGGTTCAGTCCCCAGTATTGCAGGATACAAAGGAAAAAGAAAGCTGGGTGTCATGGTGCATGACTATAATCCCAACACTCGAGAGGCTGAGGCAGGAGGATTGCCACAAGTTCAAGCCCAGCCTGGGCTACATGGTGAGTTCAAGGCCAGCTTGAACTACATAACGGGACCCTGTCTCAAAAAAAAAAAAAAAAGGAAGAGAAAGAAAAGGAGAAAGAAAAAGCAAGCAAGCAAGCAAAGAGAAGAGTTAAGTTTCCTGAGTAAGAGGGCAGCAAAGCAGCAGGACTCTTGCGGCAGACTGGGCCATGGTGGGCATGTGGGTTGTACCCATATCTCCTTGCCTTGCCTGCATGTGGTTCTAGCTTCCAGAAGAGACACCACATGATGTACCCTTGGTCTTCCCTCTTTTTCTCCACCCTTGTCCTCCTCCCCAACCCCAGCCCCTGGCTTCTCCCAGAAAGAGAAAAACCTCCAGAGATCAGTCCTCTCCTGATGAAGATATCTTTTTACAGTATTATGCAGCACAGCTTTTTGTTTGTTTTGTAGTACAGTAAGTCTCCGATTTAAAAATGAGTTCCGTTCCAGGAGAACGTAAGTTGGATTCATTTGTAAGTCCGGCAAAGTGAGTCTTATACACCTTTGACACAAACATATAATGATGCTGTTCCTGCATCCACACACTGAGAAGTTTCTCCATTTCCTCTAGCACTTTACCATTTTTTTTTTTGGGGGTACCAGGGATCGAACTCGGGTCTTTGCGCTTGCGAGGCAGGCGGAGGAACCACTGAGCTAAATCCCCGGCCCCACTTTTTTTTTTTTTTAAGATAGGGTCTTGCTATCTAGTTCAGGCAGGCCTTGAACTCACTATGTAGCCCAGACTGGTCTTGAATTCATGGTGATCCTCCTGCCTCAGCCTCCCAAGTGCTAGGATTCCAGGCGTGCACCACCATGCCTGGCTCGCCTTTTGGATATTGCTACTGACTTCGCTGCACAGCAGACCTCACATATTCCATGATCTTGTCCTTGTTCTTCAGAGTTGTGCCAATGGAGGTACAAGTTCCCTATGATGAGTGTTATCATCACGTATGTCTAAAATGTATCAATAAATGTTCTGCTATTAAAAAAAAGAATTGCCCCAATGGTTGAACAATTCATAAGAACGAGTGACATCTACCACCTTTTCATCTTTGTCCAGTCTCTCGATTATTTTCACTTTTGTTTCCATAGTTATTGCTTGTGCTTCCTAGCAGTCCCCTCCACATCACCACTGCTTTTCCTCCTGCTTCCAGACATCCTGGTCTCTGACTGAGCACTGCACTACTATGCACTACTGCACTGTACAGTGAACACACATAGCTGTGACAATGTCCAATACACACCTGAGCTACTTTCGTGATTTACTCTCATCTACAAATGTTCATAATGTAAGGTCCACTTGTACCTGTGAAAGTGCACAGTTCGAATGTTCTTAGGTTGGGGACTTACTGTATTGGGGATCGAACCCACGGCTTCCTGGATCTAAGGAAGCTACCACGGAGCTACCCACCAACCCTGGCAGCAAAGTTTATCTCCTCATTGTTACCAACTTCTCCATACAGGGGTAGGAAGTTGGCTTGATTTTCTATTAACTAAAAGCCCCTCAAAGTGTCTTCCCTAAACAAAAGGGCCTTCCTCTCCATTGGATGATCTTTTTCTCCATACCTACTGCAGTGAAAAAATAGTCGGGCTCAAGAGTTTACCCCTTTTACTCATCATTTCAAAAATACTGGTGCCTTGTCACAAAACATGCAACAGAAGGGCAGAACCTTACCGTTTTCAAAGCCTTCTGATGGCCTCTATCTTTCCACTCTGTAGACTACTGATGGAGAATCCCAAATCTTGTACAGGGAGACGCAGTTCTTCCTGCCCCCAAGGGCTCAAGATACTGGGGGAGAGATGGACAAGAGATTGTGCTGAAATTGAAGATGCTGTTCAGTTTTGTCCTTATCTTTGGCCCCTCCCAAGTGGGGCAAATGCATTGTTCCCTTAAAAATGGTTAATTTTCTTTTTTTTTGAGGAGTGATTCACTTGCTTTTCATAATGCTGGACAACCACCAGCTCTTCCTAGTCCCAAAACATTTTTATCACCCCCTCAAAAAGCCCCATACCCATTATGCAGTTTACTTCCCATTCTAACCACTCTAGTTCCTGATAACCATTAATCTATGCTTTTGTCTCTGTGGATTTTCTGGATATTTTTAAAAAATGGAACAGTACAATATCTGTCCTTTTGCAACTAGCTTTTATACTTAACAAAATGTTCTTGAGGTTCATCTACCTGCTAGCATGGATTATTACTTCATTCCTTTTTATGGCTGAATAATATTCCACTGTATGGCTATATAACATTTTGTTTATTAATTCGTTAATGACCATTTGGGTTATTTTCATTATTTGGCTATTGTAAATAGTGTTTCTATGAACATTTATGTATAAGTTTTTGTGGGGATGTACAGTTTTAATTGTCTTGGGTAGATAACTACAAATAGAATTGCTGAGGTCTATAATTTTATGTTTCACTTTCTTAGGAACTCAAATTTTTTTTAAGAAAGAAGGTAATAGGGCTGGGGATTTAGCTCAGTGGTTTTGCCACCTGCGCAAGTGCAAGGACCCAAGTTCGATCCCCGCTACCAAAAAAAAAAAAAAAAGAAAGAAAGAAGGTAATAATGTTAAAAAAATCCACGGTAATGACATTATTTTATATCTTGGTTGTGCTGGTGATTAAACAAGTATACGCATATGTCTAAACTCAAAAGTAAAGAGTAAAAAGTGAATTTTATTTTACTGTAATTTAAAAGATTAATGACAAAAAAGTGCTCATTAACTCTTTTGTTTTTTGTCCTGTTTTTGTTTTTTGGTACTGGGGGACTGAACTCAGGCCCTTGTGCTTGTGAGCCAGGTAGTGGCACCACTGAGCTAACTCCCCGGCCCTGCTCATTAACTCTTAGAAAAATCAGTATTTCTTTCAGAAAAAGATGGAAAATCATAAGTATATTTATCAGTACGTGACTAATTAAATGAGTTGTAGTACAACCATGTGATGGAATCAATGTCTTGCTGTACTTAAAAAGACAAGGCAGGGCCAAGGATGTAGCTCAGTGGCACTGCGCCTGCCTGGCAAGTACAAGGTCCTGAGTTTGAGCCTTGGTTCCAAAGGAAAAAAAAAAAAAGAATAAGGCAGCCCAATGTAGTCCCGTATGGAGTGCTCTCCAAGATGTATCATGAAAGGATACATTCTTGGCTTCCATTATAGAAAGAATGTATGCATATGTTTATGTATTCATACATCATCTCTGGGGTGACACAGAGGAAAATGAAATCGCTGGCTGTGTTTGGAGAGGGTTATGGGTGACTGGGGAAGGAGGGAGCTTGACCTGCCTTCCACTGTGGTTTCTCTCCACAACCTTTGTGCCTTTTGAGATTCGTACCTAGTGTTTCTACCTATTTAACAATGCTATGGTCTGAACGTTTGTGTCCACCTAAAATTCATGTGCTAATATTAAGAGGTGGGGCTTTTGGGCAGAGATTAGGTCATGAGGATAGAGTCCTTATGAATGGGATCAATGCTCTTATAAAGGAAGCCTGAGACAATTTGTCCCTTCTGCCATGTGAGAACACAGCCAGAAGCCAACCACTTATGAAACAGAGAGCCCTTGGCAAATGCACCACATCTGCTGATGCCTTGATTTTGGCCTTCCAGCCTCCCAAACTATGAGCAATAAAGGTCTCTGGTCCAAGGTATGCATTTTGTTATAGCAGCCCGAATGGACTACAACAGACAATCAGAGTCTTTCCAGGCAAATCCATTCTGCCTTATGGAGAAACAGAGAAGTTAGATTCCTATGGAGACTGATATCCTAGTAGAATCCTGGAGCACACCAGGGATGTAGGGCTTGAGCTATAAAACAGGCATATTCTATGACCCAATAACCATTCATGAGCAGAATTTCCTTTGCAATAAGTGGCAAATGGCTTTGTATACTCAAGGACTCATTGGAGACTACAGTGAGGAGCCCAAGACATATTTTTGCCCTGTGGAATTGGCTGCAGCTCCCCGAGTCTATGCTAGATGGCATCCTGTCTCCATGGAGGGACTGACAGCTATAGGAATGAGAGCTCCTACTACAACTGCCAGCTTCTTCTGCATAGCTCATTTCGGTGGTATGCAGCCCGTGGCTCTGCTTTGAGATGTTACTACAGCAGGGAGCTGGCTGCCCCAAATCAACTGGGCAAATTATCTATTATACTCTATTCTGCAGAATTGCCGAAAAAAACCCAAACCCAACTGGTGTAAAGCAGTACACTTTTAAAACTGCAAGTACTCGATAGCTTCCACTTGGCATATAACTTGTTAGCTGAGACTTCAATGAGGGAAAATCATGTCCTCCTTCTTTTGGGTCAAATAAATACCCATATGTCTGACATGGCCTATCATAGGATGGTAAGTTTTGTTCTAAGGTTTCCAAGATAATTTGGCCCAGAGTCTCTGGAGCAAAAGAAAGTTTATACTCTTGTAGCATTAAGATTGTCCTGTGAACCCACCTCACCTATGAGTCATGTGGTTACAAATATTCCTATAGTTCCACTCAACTCTGCTTGTTTCTTCTTCCTCCTTAAGAAGCAGTCTACTTTATGGGCCGGGGATTTAGCCCAGTGGTTCCGTCGCCTGCCTCGCAAGCGCAAGGACCCGAGTTTGATCCCCAGTACCAAAAAAAACCCCAAACAAACAAAAAAAAGAAGCAGTCTACTTTAGTTAAGATTGTATACACATTTCCATTCTAAGCTACCCTGCAAAACAAGTGGACTTGGCTTTGGTCATGCCATTACCTGACAGATGCTGGTCACTGAATCTGGTGATGAAGCTGGACTGTCAACCTTATTGGCTTGAGGTCTGCCCAGGGGTTTAATAAAGCACACTTCTGGATGTGTCTGGGTGGGTCACAGAGGAGTCACTTTGAGGTCTGTATCTGGTCCTTTGGCCCTTCTTTCCTGGCACCTTTTTTCTGCTCTGCTATCTAGTCTTGAATCCAATAGCTTTGCTTGCCATGCTCTTCCACCATGATGTTTCTCCCTTGGAGCCAGCTGATCATGTACTGAATCTCCTGAAACCAGGAGCCAAATCAAACCTCTCCTCCTTTAAATTGTGGATGTTAGGTGTTGTGTCTCAACAACAGGAAAGCTAATACAATGGATGATGGTTTGGATTCTTATCTACATTAACAGAACATCATTGGCTTTTAATATATGTGCTGCCGAAGCAAGCACCATCATTGGCTTTTAAGTAAATTACTGGAGAAGGGGCTATTTTCCTTCTCTTACTCTCAAAGTGCAAAATTAAGGTTTATATTTTTATTGTGTATTTTCCTTGCCAAGTTGAGCATTTTCCTTCCATATAAACCTATTGATTGCTCAGCACTAAACCAAACAAAAATGTTCAACTTTCTGTAAGATATTTTAGGGGCAAGTATCTTCTGTTTCAGTCAGCCTGAAAACTGAATTGAAACTGGTATGCCTAGTTTCTTTTAAAATTAGGTGACTAGGGCCAGGGATTTAGCTCAGTGGTTCTGCCGCCTGCCTCAAAAGGGCAAGGACCCGAGTTCGATCCCCAGTACCAAAAAAAAAAAAAAAAAAAATAGGGAACTAGCTGGGGGTGGTGGTGCACACCTGTAATCCAAGCAATCTGGGAGGCTGAGGCAGGAGCATTGCAAATTCA